ACACATCAGTGGAAAGCCTAGAACAAACTTTGAGGACCTGCACCTCATCATAACCACATCAAGAAGCAGTCAGAAGCAATCCAACCTCAACTGAGAAAGGAGCTAATTTTGTGTGTGCTGAATTACAATTGAACTCTGACCATTTGCTGAATATACAAACTGACATTGAGGTATTAACTTCAGGCCACAAACTGCCGATTGTGTTTATACCTTTCTTTCACTTCATCTCATAAGTGAAACTCAAATCTTTGTCAGAGAGGCTCAATAGCCCCTGACAACATTTCAGGACTCAATTTCAACAGGAGGACAATTTTAACAGTCATAACCAACAATTTCAAAATGTGTGCTGAAAAGCTCAACTTTTGGTTGAAAATTAGGTGGAGTTCCTTCTCAGTGCCATTTATTTATCATCTGGATGTTTGATCAATTCATTATTGGCCAGCATTTTTGAAGAATTCATATATAAAACAATGTGGTACTACATCACAAGTGTAGAGAACATGAAGAGGAAACTGGTGAAGGTTTTCTCCTGCATCAGCTGTGCAAATACTCTTTAATATTTACTTTTGCAAATTATTAGAGGCCAGGAAATGTGATGGAATGTTCAGGTCAGATCACCTGACCAGATATAGTAATAGGAAATTAATAAAAGATGACTTTTAATCCAAATTTACAAGCAGTCTTCTCTGAACTCTTGAAGAAGATTCATTGCTTCATGTATGTCTTCATCTCATCTGTGCACAAAATCTGATGTTTTATTTTATTTTATCTGATCTTTTGTGTATTAAATTCATAAATGTTGAATTCTTTGACTTGACAAAAACTGAATAAAATGTATTACAAAACTATGAACATATATTCACAGTGTCCCCTTTGATATTTGTTCCTGGCTGAAACCATGCTAATTGTGTTTTATTTCTTGATATTTGCTCTTTGGTGGGAAATAAAACCCAGATCACAGACATACAATAAGTTTGTGAACAAACCCTGTGATGGGTGCTGAATATCACAGGTGAGCTCAGAAATATTGATTATGTGACGCATTTTGCTTCCTCTGATATAGGTATTAGGAAGCAAATCTGGAGCATTGATGCTGTGTTTATTTGGGACATGCTGGTGGGATTCCCAGATATGAGATTCTGCTAAATGTTGATGATAGAAATCCAATTATTTTTATCTTTGTAGCCTGGATAACATGAATCAAATTTGCATCTATAGCTCCAGATTTGTTTCCCTTGCTTTTCAGAAAATCTAAATAATGCAGTATGTGATCAAGTAAAAATAAAGTCTTGCTGCAGAAATTTTTTTGCATGGGATACACCTTGAAATAAATTTTTCTATGGGGTATATTTTTTTCATTTTGAGACTCAAGTTGTACTGGTTTGCATTTCAGGGTTGTCAAAAATAAATTTGCAATGTAAACACAAACTCTATGTGGTTTTTTGTGTGAGAAAATGAGCAAAGCTGTTTCTGCAGTCTTGAACTGAAGTCTTTGGGTGCCTCATTTCTTTCATGCTTTCTTTATCATGAAGGGGTATCGTAATTAACATCTTTTAAAAATAACTTTTTATGTAACAAAGTTTTTGTTTAAGTTAGGTATGTTAACTTGAGTATTATGTCATATCAATTCTTCACAAGGATAGTCGTTCTTCAGACGAAATATCAGTTTCAAAAAGCATCTGCCTTAAGGTCTTTGACGACCTTTAGGGACCTTTTGGTAAAACTTTCATGACGTGGTTACTTTTGGACTGTCTATATTTACTCTTACGTCGAAACCCCTAGACTAAGTCCCTCAAAGAGAATACGACATGAAGGAGATTTATTTTTCAATCGCCAAATAGAGGAAAGAATATAAAATGAGAGAACACTGAAACCCCCATATCAATTTTATTAACTATTGCATTTTTTAACATCTATAGACCTATATAGTATGTGAAAGTGCTGTAGAACAGCTTCATGCAGTCACTCCTCAAAGTAATGGTCACACACAAAAAAGCAAGAAAAGGCTCAAAATATTCACTCCATCTTTCAAGTGAGGTTTTCCTGTGAACTTCAAGTAATTCTAATTCTCAGAAATCCAAAGACATGCAAATTTGCAATGCCTTGGATGCTGTACTGATTTTGATTGTTATTTTATTTAAACTGCACAATAATCCAGGTTTTTTTGAAGTTTATAAGGGTATGTTCCTATATCCTTGTTAGTATTTAATAAACTTCAATAGGTTCTTTATCTTTCAAAATGTTCATCCTTTTTGCGCTTTTAAAATACAGGATCATAAAAACAAATAAAAATACACGGACACATTAATTGTCCAGCTTTAGAAATTAATGGCAAAAGAAAGTTTTAAAATCGCCTTTTTACAGTTCTTGCAGAAAAAAATGAATGCATCACATTTTTCAATTTGTTTATGAAGTGACACTTTTAAATTGATTTATACAAGACTGCATATAATTATAAATATAAATTGTATACATTCCCATCTTATATTCAGAAGAGAGATTTCTTTTATTATATAGCTTTCTGAGCTTCATCGTCTTACATGAGGAAGATATAAATTAGTGTTAATTACAGATCATTTTTCAAATATACCGTAATCATGCGTCCCGTGTGCTGCACAGATTTGAAAAGATCGCAACAAAACCATCGACGACCTACTTGGAATAGTTAAGGAGCGACATCTAAAGGAAAACTTCTTGATCCGCGCGGATATATTTCAGCAGCGGTACTCTATGCTTCAGATAAGATTTATGGGTGTGCGTTTTTATTGATGATCTTATGGAATTTTAATTTATTGTATTCTACCACAAACTGATATTTTTTCACATGCCAATCAAAAATTAAGGTACTGTATTATGAAAAAAATTCATACTGCGCCTTCAAGTGAAATAATGTGCTTACTGTTTTTATTTTAGGTCATGATTAAATATACTGTACTGTAATCGCAAAACTCTTTTTTCTCCTACTAAATTCTGATTATGACGAAACTTTAAAAAAATTTCTAAGTTGCACTTTATACTAAAAAACTGTTATAAACGTATTAAAGGTATAACGTTAGTGTCGTATATCTGTACTTGTAAATTTCTCAATTTTGGCTTTATTTTTCTTGCTAAAGCAGGAAAAAAAATTTATTTTGCAGAGAAATGCCAGTCAAGGGATATCAACAGATTGAGCCAATAAAATTGCTTCTGGGAAATGTTTGAAAATTTATTTTAAATCAAAATATATTAAAGGTGTTGTTGATTATTAAGATCAGGGTCATAATTTCATAATACAGGTGGACTCTCTCTACAACAATTTTCCCTGTATAAAGAATTTTTGTTTGGTCCAATATAGGCGCATATACAGCGATATTTTAGGTCCTTTGAATCTCATTGAAGAGAGAGAGAGAGAGAGAGAGAGAGAGAGAGAGAGAGAGTCCTATGAGAAGTTTCTTGTAGAAAATTTTTTCTTTTTGTGACAACATATATATCATGTGCTGCAGCTGACATTATCAGAAATGCATCCATTTTCTGACATGCCTTTTAAGCCAGCAATCCAAATGGAAGCTGCCCGATTCCCCGAGGGATGCTTTTCTTTCTCCGCAAATCGACAACGAGGCGCATGGGACGGTCTCCCAAAAGGAACCCTTTTGGGGAATGGGGGGGGGGGGGGATCAATATGTGATACAGAAGAGGGCAAGAGACACATGCGTAGTGTCGTGCAGGGATCCCGAGGATCCTCGAGCTACACGAAATGGGGAGCTATGCCCACACGGGGCGGAGAGCTGGTGTGCGAATCAGGGTTGTCGGATCGCCCCCCAGCAAAACCCAACTGCTGATGGGGGTTCATGCCGCTGCTGCCTGCTGGACCTTTTTGGAGCTGCCATGGACATGCTGGAGGGGGTTTGTGTTGTTTTTCTTCTTCTTCTTCTTCTCCTCCTTTTACGTACCATTTTCATTTTCTTCTGTGCGGCGCGATTATATTCGCTCTGGCGCCAGACACGGCATAGGGAATCAGCAGGTTTGCCAGCTGATTTTGATCAGCCTGAATTCATTGCCAAGTTCAGCAAAAGTTTTGTTGTCGTTTGGATATGTCTAGTCTGAATTGCTGGATTTTTCAATAGCCAGCTCCTGACATCCTGTACAAGAGACAAGAGGAATAAATTTCATTACATAAAAAAATCATATTGCTGCAGCAATATTTATTCCACCATTTTTTCCAGAAGACTCAAATAAGGCAATTTATAAACCTTATAGTCATGAAAATAAATAGGAAATCATAATCTGAACTTTTCAGATTTGAGGGATTGTCTATATGAAACGGATGCAAAAAATATCGAACCAGTTTTATGAAATCGTTGACAAAATAAGCTGGGCTGAATACTGCCCTTGTGATATTCAAATGTGATTCCATCACATCGGAATCTGGAGGGAATCGGATTAAGCGCAGCATGACAAAACAATTTTTGTCTCCTTCGTTCGAAGTGTTGGAAAAATGGGCATCTACATGCCATTCATTGGTTCAAATGCACCGAGAATAATTTCGATTCGATTCTGGATGATATTTAGAAATAGTTAAGTCATAATAGGGCTTTGTCTGGTGATAGATTTCCTTTCAGTGCGGTACGATACCGCATGACTGACAAAACTGTATTACTGTACCAGCGAAGTCAGCAGGGCCATGCTCCAGCCACGAGAGGGTATTGCAAAGCCTTAAATTCCTGATAAACGAAGCTAGATGGCATTTCCTTGGTTTCAGATGTTTTGTGATTGTTTTATCATCACAACTGAGTTAATTTAATATCTTAATTGTTTTTTATTTCGGCAACAAGAATTTCGTCGAATCTCAAGATATGCATGCACAAATTCGATGTTCGCGCATATCAGACGACGGTATTGTACAGGAACGCTCTGTGAAGTCAATCATTGATTTTTTTAATGAGCGAAGAGTATCCGTTAGCATGCAGATCGAAAGATGTTAAGGGGAGAGATGCATTGCTTCACTGCTAGTATACTGTATCTTCATCAGAAGGCAATGTGGAAGTGAATGTATGAGCATGAACTTGCCATCATTGATTGTGTGTGGATTCCAGTCGATTCTCTCACGATATCGCTCATCTTGGATTCGCACTAGTGCCGGCGTGGTCATACCCTCTCAACGGGTTCCCCTGCCCAAGAAACCCGGAGCAACCCGTCTCAGTCTGCCCCTGCCATCTCAAGCGCTCGCACGCTGCAGCAAGTCGTGTGAAACCCAACACCCGAATAAAGGCCGCGGTTTTTCTCCGTTTGTAGTGGAATTCTGAAAGTTCGTTGCTGTGGGTGTTCCGGAACGAACCCAATATGGAGTGTAGCATTGATGATGACTCCATCATCGTGGATGCTGCAGCATTACAATAATGTGGTGAGTCTGATCGTGTACTGCCGCTTTTCGTGTGATATTATCCATCAGAACACTCCGTCAAGGGATCAAGTATTCCAATTTGCCCTAGATTTATAATCGTCTTAGGTAAGAATGAGCTTGGTTTCAGAGCAATGTAAAGTTTTGTGATGTTTTTGAAGCTTCTCGGTCTTCATTCAACTCCGAAGAAACTATCTCATCCTGAAATCCTCTCGAGTAATCGAGAGCCCTAAGCAGTACGATCATTTATACTTGAACAGAAAAATGTCGGCTTCAACAAAGAACCCCCGTGTTCATTACCGAGGTTTCTATCTTTCTTTCTGCAGAAAAGAAGCCATCTCAAATCCTGTTCAGGTTCATGTTCAAGTATCGTTGACCGTTAAGCTTCTTCATCTGAAACCATGGTCGAAGCAAACCCATCGGTGTTGAACTCAATCCCGTTCTTGGAAATACTGTATGCGCTTCAAAATCCTAAAATCTGAAAAATGGAATGATGAAAGATGAATATAGAAGCGAGGCAGCGCCATGCCAAGAAAATAAATTTAAATCCTTAATAATTTGTATGAGTGTTAAGCACCTGCAGCTCGTTAAATGTAAACCCCGTATAATGGCCCGAGATCGAGTTCATGTTTCTCTCATTATTGGACTGATGGAAATCCCACGAATTTCGTCCTGAAATCCCTTTTAATTCGCGATTTGAAGCGTCTCCCATCCCATGCATATATATTTTTTTATTTCAATGTGGCGTGGGAATTAAAAAAGTGAATAATCATATCGCGGGAAGTCGTATGTGCATTTTTTGTATGATATAAATCGTGTTTAATCATCGTCAGTGCTCCGAGATGAAAGTGTCGTGAACTTCGGAATTCCGGGATCGGTTCTGAAGCATGATGGCGAGACAAGCTGTGGCGCACAATGGAGACGAGATCCTGCCCTACAACCCGGTGCCCCATCAGTCATCGAACCCATCAGCAGTAGCCGTGAAGCCCAGACTGGACCTGAAGCCGTATGCACAGCAGTGCAAAACAAAGTCCCGGAAACTGGGCAATGCCCGGGTTTGGATGGAGAGCTCCTTTGTGGGTACGCAGCCGATTTTGAGTCCGGAAACCCCTTCCGGGGACCTGGCTATGTTCGTGTTCGACGACCCCAGTTTACTGAATGGCGACGCGGATCCGTCCAACCTTGTGCCCATGGTCAAGCTTAGGTCTGGCTCTGCCCAGTTGGATGCTTATGTCGTGCAACGGGAACTGGATGCCAGGAAGAACGGTGAGAATACATTTTTTCGTAGTCCTGTGGCATTTCAGAACATTCGCGAAGGATTTAGCGACTTATAGGTAGAAGTGTAATTACGTCAAAGAAGACTTTCGGATAAGACCTTTATTTTGTCTCTGATCAACTCCGTGGAGGATCAATTAATACTATGCTGCTGGTTTAATTACTCGTCATCAATATTCCGACAGCTTTTAAGCTCATGAATCCTTATGCTTTGTATCTGTGGGTCAAAATGTTTTTACAATAACGAACTTTCGGAGGCTACTGAAATTATTCTTGACGGTGAGATAATTTTAGCAATTTCAGATATTCCTACTAAAATCGGGAGACTACTTTCTTCGAACTTAAGTTTTCTGATCATGTCTGAATTTTATCATGCAAAGATTCAAAGAAGTCTGAGTGACATTTTGTTGACTCCTGCTGTGAGCAGTGAATTTTTTCATAATTTCCTCAATTCGTCTTCAATTTGTTTAGCCTTCAAACTTGTCAACCACTGAGTGTGATGTGATTTATTCGGCGAATGAGCCAGAAAATTTCGCTTTTTTATTGAGCTGGCTGAATTTATTATTTTATACATTTGTGGATATTCGTACCGCATAATGGAGGGAAGAATTTGTCAAATTATTTTCCCCCTTACGGTGTGAAAGTGTGTTTTTTTATCCTTATAATGCCTGATTCCCGAAGTTTGAATAAGCAATAATATCGAGTGAATTTCCTTTTGCAAAAATCAGCGGCGTGACAAATTGAAGAAAAACATCCATTTGCTTTTACGTCAAATGCAGAAAATGTCTCGCCGTGAAAGGATTTTGGTATTCTGTTCGTCTGTAAATAATTTGGGATGTTATTCGAACGTGATCAAAGCACGAACTGTTGATGTCCATCGAGGTAATCAACTCTGCCTGATGAGACAATCTAATAATGATGGTCATTAATTCAACGTATCAGCGATGACAAACAGCGTATGTCCCATAATTAATTACATTAAGCGTGAGTCCCATAGTGGTTTATGGTTGTTTATTTACATTAGTTCCTCTTATTACAACCGATTAGTTTTAACTAAGAATATGTCATAAAAAACTTTCAAGACATTCTATTTTAGTTAAAAATAAACATTTTTTTCGAATGAGGGAATGTTTTCTGGAAAGAGGAATTCAGCTATTTTCGCGCAATTGTTTGAAAAGTGTTGTTTTATATCGGTTTATATGAATTTTTTGGTACGGGATTGTTCAAGTCTTGCAGTATTTTTTTCTGGATGTTCGAATTAGACTCTTGATAATTCATGCAAATTTTATTGCAATATATTCGAAACCCAAATTTTGGCGCTCTATACGAAGATCCGAACATTTCAGGCGGTCTGTTTATGCAAATAGAGTTTCGTTGACTTTTACGTAGTCTGCTCCAGCGTTAATTTATGCAAATACTCCGCCATTTACTTTGAAGTTTGTCCTCCTGTATTTTCGTATAGGAAACCATTCCGACGAGATTCTTTGGAATTGGGTGAAACTCGTAAGGAAATCCTGAAAGCTACTATAGAGAATCAATCACAGGGATTTACTGAATAAACATGATCAGGTGAAACAGCTGATCCGTGAACATCCCACATTATTGCAGCTGAATGGAAAGAAAACCTTTTTTTCCCCTGGTTCATTGGGAAGCCATAAAAAGCATGGACTCGAATTCCTGGGAAAATGAGATGCACTGAGTGCTTCTCCAAAATTTTACACTTGGCAAAACCTTGATCAAGTTTGCATCTTTGAAAAAAAAATTCATAAAATTATGAATATATTGACGTTATGTTTCGGGGCTTCGAAAAAAAATTAGGGAATTCAAAAAGATTTTCTAGAGTGTGAATTAGAAATTTTTTTCTCGCATTCGGAAGTCCAGAAAATAATTTTTGTCGAGGTTGAAAACATATACAGTGTTGCCAAATTTAATAGGAATAACCGGTTTCATCATAAAATTTTAAGATTTGTTCGGACTTCTTAAATCCTTTTGATCTATTGAATTATGTTTTGGGATGACAATAATTTGAATTGAATTAAGCTGAAATTCGTGGAGGAAAATTTTATTGCGAAATTTAATCAAAAATCTTGAAAAATGGCGAATTTTCCTTTTCTTTTCGATTGTTTCGCCGATCAACAACCGTTTATAGATTTTTTTCTGAAATTTTTTATATAGGTACTTTTCCTGGAATTTCAAAGTAAAGTTTGTCTGAATCATGAATTCGTCTGAACCGCATCTAACCTGACGATTATGTGAAATAAACTCATAATCTCGTAATTTCACGCGAGTTTAAATTTCGAGTACGAAAAGTTTTCAACCAGCAATTTCAGTACTTTCTTTGTTTTTTATCCTGATTCTATTGGAGAGAAGCGAAACTTTTGTATATAGCACCGACTCTTTCGGAATCCATTTTTCCAATGTTAGATTTTTGCGATTTTTCACGGGGACCCTTTTTCTCATTTACCTTTTACCACGTACGTGGTGACGTAATAATCCTGAGAATTAATGCGTAGCCGTGATCTTATGCTGGATCGATTCCCTACTACAGTACTTTTCAAAGGGACACGTGAAAACCAATGTAGGAGGTTTGAGGCTTGATCAATACTTCATTGGAATGGCATTTGCTTGGTCTTAAGTCTTGTATAAGATAGGGTGTCCTCAAATAAGGCTATTGAACGAGATGCGAATTCGTCATTTGAACTTGTCTTTCACATGTTGTGTGAAATTCACGTAGAAAAAGTGCTTGTGAATATTTTTAAAAGGATTTTTTTAGTGTCTCTGATGGAAGAGTGTGTAAAGGCTGATTGTTATATTTAAATTCCCTCACGAAAGCCGAATGAATCGAAAATTTTGTAATCTTATTGTACTTATTGTCTTAGAAACCACCTTAGCGTGTGTTAGTCACCGCGTGCTCAGAGCACTAAAATAATGCGTCACTGTAACGGAAAAATTAAAAATTGTCGTCAGTAATATTTTGGGCAGCACCCTGTACTTCTTCCGTACCTTTATGATTCACGAGGGTTTCCTGCATAGAAAATCTTTCGAGTCACAAACATAATTTTGTTGCAACCGGATTCAACCTGGTGTTTAATTTTTGTTGTTGTTGCCAATTTTTCTTATTTAAGGAATTTCATCCTATTAAAAATAAATCGGACTGAGGTGCGATTCTATTTATCCTGAGGTGGTTAAAAAACAGTTGGTTTTTTTGTTGAAATAAAGTAGTATGCTTCAATTTTTTGTTGTTGGAGAAAATCTTCAAATGCGAGCGTTAGGATTTTTGACGTCGGAATATTATTATTCAGGCATGCTCTAAAAACTAGTCAAAAATGACCTCTGATGTTGTGCTGAGGAAAATAGAGGTTTTTTCCGAAAATTTCAGGTATTTTTCACGTGACGAAAATCGAGAATGTTCTTGAAATTCTGAAAATTCATGTCTTTACCTTATTTATTTATTTCTTAGGCCTTATTAATTAATACTTATAGGTATTCATTTCTCGTGCTTGATCGGACGGAATGTATCAATGAAAAATAAGACGCGGTACTGAACAGGAAATCAATGTTTTGCAGTAGATTTCTTCGTCAAGTTACTGGAAAATATTTTTTAAAATATTTTCAAACAGAAAAAAGAACAATATTGGAGGAATATTTATTTTATTGGTCGCTCTTCAATTGATTGTTATTTCGATCGTGAGTAAAAAAAATGTGCGTAACTGCGTCGAACAAAACGCAACCAAAAAAAGAAAAAGATGCGAAAACCTATATTTCTTGGCAACTTGTGGTATATATACACACACAGGTCATTTGCAATCAAAAAAGGCTTCCTCAATGTCCGAGCAGAACTTACTGCTGACGCAGAAGCACTGGAGTGCTCAAGGCAAAGGTCTGGGCACTATTTCCAAGTCCCGTCACCACCACTGCTCTGATCAAGGCTTCCAGCATCATCACCCGTCATCATCATCCGAACCCGAACCTCTCAGCATGCAACCCGAAAAGGAAAACGCCGTCGCAATAGCCGCAGCCATGCTCACCGAGGGCCTCAACAAACGCATGATGTTCGCCGTCGACCCAGACGACTTCAAACCCATCACCAGCAGCAGTTCGTCGAAACCCGGCGAAACCCCGGAACCCACCCGTCGGGGATCCACGTCGTTGGACGATGTCCTGAGTTCCCTGCTAGCGTTGCCACCGTCACCAGCATCAGCGAATAACAATAAAAATGCGGTTGAGGACAATGATCATCATCATCATCATTTTGGGAGCAGCAGCGTGTTGGGGAGATCGGGTTCTTTGCGGAGACCCACTTCGCAGCCGGACTTGGATCAGCAGCGGAGAAGCAAGTCGCCGGTTATTCACGAAGGTGGTGGTGCTGCTGGTGCTTACAGTTGGAGGAAGCAGGAAAATGGGACTTTGGCAGCAACAGCGGGAACAGAGGGGACGAATAAGGTGAAGATGAGACACGAGAGTTTGGGGGATCAGACGACGAGGAGCAAAAGCCCGTCTTTGCTTGATGCAGGTACGAACGAACGAAGAGACGATATGAGAATAAAGGGAGGGGGATCATGAAGCAAATATGTGCTGTTTGTGTGTGTGTGCTGTGTGTTATAGTGCAAGTTAAATATTTGTCCCTCATCTCTTACTCTCATATTCTAATGCTTTTTTTTTGTGTGTGTGCGTTTCTGAAGAGCAAAGCTTTGTTCTTCTTCTTCTTCGTCTTGGGATTACAAATAGGATAACGTGTGTCCGAGAGTATTTCCTTGGGATGAACATAATATAGTAGTGGTGCATCTCGCCTCGAGTGCGTACATGCCTTGCATATACACTGCAGCAATCATCGAATAATAAACGTGGAATAGGAAATGACGCGTATTATGCGGCGTCTCGAAGTGAGACTTCAAAGGAGAAAGAGCTCTTCTTGCTTTGAATTTTTATGCGTGGAAGTGCACTTTACAGTACTTTTATCTCGATCAAGAGAGAGAGAGAAAGAGTGACGAAGTCGACGTGCTAGACCCACTTCGCAGCCGGACTTGGATCAGCAGCGGAGAAGCAAGTCGCCGGTTATTCACGAAGGTGGTGGTGCTGCTGGTGCTTACAGTTGGAGGAAGCAGGAAAATGGGACTTTGGCAGCAACAGCAGGAACAGAGGGGACGAATAAGGTGAAGATGAGACACGAGAGTTTGGGGGATCAGACGACGAGGAGCAAAAGCCCGTCTTTGCTTGATGCAGGTACGAACGAAGAGACGATATGAGAATAAAGGGAGGGGGATCATGAAGCAAATATGTGCTGTTTGTGTGTGTGTGTGCTGTGTGTTATAGTGCAAGTTAAATATTTGTCCCTCATCTCTTACTCTCATTCTAATGCTTTTTTTTTATGTGTGCGTTTCTGAAGAGCAAAGCTTTGTTCTTCTTCTTCTTCGTCTTGGGATTACAAATAGGATAACGTGTGTCCGAGGGTATTTCCTTGGGATGAACATAATATAGTAGTGGTGCATCTCGCCTCGAGTGCGTACATGCCTTGCATATATGCACTGCAGCAATCATCGAATAATAAACGTGGAATAGGAAATGACGCGTATTATGCGGCTTCTCGAAGTGAGACTTCAAAGGAGAAAGAGCTCTTCTTGCTTTGAATTTTTATGCGTGGAAGTGCACTTTACAGTACTTTTATCTCGATCAAGAGAGAGAGAGAAAGAGTGACGAAGTCGACGTGCT